TACTCGCTAGATAGCGCTCTTGTCCCCAGGCCTTGATCTGTGGGTATGCCTGGCGGGTGGCCCATATCCGCTTCAATCATGGCAGAGAGCTGATGATATCATGAACGCAGGAAACAGCCCAGAAGCGAAGCCTATCGTACTTTGTCGAATGTGATAAACATTGGGAAGTGGACGTCCTGGAGTTCGCTAAATCTTTGAGGGAGATCTTCGCGCCAATTCAGGGCCTCATCTTGGTCAACCAATCCCGCTTCTTCTTTATTTCTTTGTCTTTCAAGAAGGTCAGAAATTTCACTCTTGGTCTGCGAAGGAAGGACAAGCGATTGGAGGAGCTTGATAAAATATTCTTCAACTTTGTCGGCAAGCATTCTAGACTGCGTGACGAAAAGCTGGCGTGGGCGTTCAAGTCGAAGCTCGCGGTTTTGCTGCCAAGAATTCTCGATGCCCAACATTTTGAAGAGCATGGTCGTGGTTTTGCTATTAATGGGCTCAGATTTTGGGAGACGGAAGGTACAAACTCATACCCAGTGCCACTACGTCCCTGGACGAAACACGAGTGGGTGTGTTCAATAATCTCTTGCTCGTGAGGACTGCAGAACAGCCGTTATAACGCGGACATTTGGAATCTGGTAAAGGAGCTTACGATACTTGGAACACGTGAACGACATCTTGATCCGCAAGGATACCTATTAAGATATTAGTTAAAAAGTCTAGTTATAAGTGGTGGACACACTCGTAAGCAGCGCCTGATATCGCATCGATGGTAAGCAACTTTTCCCGTCAGCGACAAACCTACCTACCTGTGAGAACGTAACAAACTTTTCGAGTCTATAATCTATAGTCAGCGAGTCGGCTACGGCTTGCTTCTAGAGGAATAGGCTAACACAAGGATCGCATGGAGCTTAAGGGCCGAAATCAGCAAGGTGTCACCAGGTGTTAGATTCTGACAAACCTCTTCTAGAACCTCGTCACTGATCGTAGGAAGCTCATCAGGTATCATATTGGGGTCGGGAGGCGGTGCCGCAGGGAAAGACGCGGGAGGTACGACTTTGTCACCCTTATGCAGTGGGTCAGCGCGGAATGTACAACTACCATATGGTAAGTCAGGCAGTGCAACATTCGCCTGCAGAGGACACGTACCGTTTCTGGTACTCCCTGCCCTTGCGCAAGAGTTGATAGCCCATGGCCTCCCATAGCCGTTTATCTAGCTCAGCATGGGTATACACCCCAAAAACCCTGATAGCTGCGAGCAAATTGAGCACATATATATGCCCTGGCTAGCCTACTAGGTCGTACCTTGACGCTCGACCTATGGAAGTAGGGTAGTCAACTTTAAATCGGTGCTGAAACTGGGGACACCCACTTGACTATCAAAGTCCTGAACACAGTCAACTTGATACTATATATTCGGGTGAGGCGGGAAGTCTGCAAGAAGTAGAACTACACCAACCACGAGACGCGAGTCACGAGTCATTTTGGCCTCGTAGATGGGGATCGGGGTATTTGTACCGACCAAGCGCTTTTGATTGTCATCGGAGAAATGGCCGTTCGATAGTTCTCTACAGAAATCTCACGTTAGACAACACACCGAGATCGAAGGCGAAATACAAATGGGTACTTGATCTTTTTCAGAGTTATGCGAAAAAGATTTGTATCCTTCTTCTTCGTCTTGCGAAGATCGCGATCTGCTCTCACAGAAATCAAAATCCGCCACTGGCCGAACCCTTCGGCGTTATCGAAATAAAGGGCAGCCTTCATCGGTTGAACTTGAGGGTAGGCGACAGGAATCTCCTCGGGTGTCTCGACGCTTTGGTCAAATGAGGCCAGAGTTACGTTTGGGCATTTAACGATCGCTTCGACGGCGGAAGATGGGATATAGTTTCTCTTGAACGTGTCTATAAGTGATTCAAGACGAAACACGTTAAGATAAGTCTATAAGAGAAAGTGAATGAAGGACTCGGGAAGTAGGGCAAGAAATTCAATACCAAGAGTGTGTCCTTCTGCTTCACTAGAATTTCTAACGCTATCTCCTGTGCTTCATGACGCAAAGCAGGTACCTCGAGATGGAGTTCTCGAAAAGGTGTTGCGTCTACCGACTTGTTCGCTTGTCGGGTTCGTTGGGCATATTTTCTTGCCTTCTGAGAGACTCTCGCTGAACTCTCTTCGATTTCAGAGACGGAACTCTGAGTGACGCCAGCAAGGGCTTGAAGAACAGCGTTCGACTGAAGTATGTACTGGTGAGAAGAGTCTAAGCCCTGAGGGCGCTCATCCTCATTTGGGTAGGGGAGGAATAGGAGCGATAGAGAAATGGTCGAAACGAGCCTCGCGCATAAAGATGTTGCAGAGTAGTCGTCTAGGTCGTGTGGAAATATGTCATTAACCCACGTTGATACGAAGTTGAATTTATCCTGGGACAGTGCTAATAGTAGAAAAGTGTGAGGTATGAACAAGTCGCGCAAGAGAACTCGTGCCACTTACACGACAAGAGGAATTCGATACATCCTCGCCGCTCCAAAGCAACTTCGATGACAAAATTTACGGTCTCTGGTCGAAGAAACTGGTGGATTGAATGAAGTGCCACATCGAGAGCATCATCGTCAAGATCCCTCAATCGCTCCGGCTGAAACAGCTCCAAGTCAAGGATGCCCTTCGGAATAGACAAATGTTGGTGCTGTTTAGTCGAGCGACTCATGTGGTCAGTGGTAAAGCTTGTTGTTGAAAGGGAGAACAAAGGGCGCAACACCTTGAGTTATGTAGCGCGCGGGGGGTGGCCAAGGCCACAAGCGGTAATCGAGACCTCGTGAGCGGAACAGACTGAGCGCCAATACAACTTACGCGACAAGTTGCCCTGGGAGTGACACAAATGTAGGCAAGTTAATCCTTAAGAGGATTAGTAGAGTACGAACGGGGATAAGCGGAGGTGAAAAGGTCGGGCCCGGGAAATCTAGCGTACTGCGTACTTGATGACGCGGACCGGCCACTTGGAGCTACACTACCAGAAGGAACAATGGGAAGGACTCGGACCCGCATCTTGCTGCAATGCTACTCCAACATTCCCAGTTTCTCATTCTAAACAACTTGAACAGTTGTTGAACTGGAACATGTTGGTACTGCCAGTGTAACCATTCACTCCCTTGTCCGCAAAGCCCTGACCTCGCTCTCGCCTCGTGCGACGTGGTTTGTTACCCGATGCTGTAAGTTTTTCACAATACATACTATATCTTCGCTTGCCATCGTACCATGCCATCATCGCTGTTCTCCGTATCCCTCGACTTGGGTCTCGGGCATGCGACTCGTCGCTGTGCTCTTTCCCTTTGACTCCCTTTCCTTCACTGTTTCAACATTTTGATCACTGACTCGTTTTGTTTGCTATTTTGGCAACAGGTGCAACACACGTGCGTGTGTAAACCACTCTCCCATACCTTGGCCTTTCGAACCCTGCGCTTGAGCCGCTGAGTCAGCTTGGCAGCCCGCTGTGTATGGCTAAACACGGCCCCCAAGCTACGCGAAACATGGCCTCAAAGCTTTGCAAGCACGTCTGAGATGACCGGGCTTTTTTCCCTGGCCAATTCTATCCGTTTTTCTTGGCTTAGCAACCTTGTACACATGCAACAATTGCGGTCTTTGATGGGCACTAGGTACCTTCGGTATTGTCTCTCGAATACTCACTTAAAGCGATATCCTCCAGCGGCTATAACACTACTCCTGAGTAACTCCTCACAGTGGCCGTAATTTGTTCCCTACTTGTCAACCTGCTTGCACCCACAGCTTTACGCGAGAGAGAGAAATCTCATCGTTACTTGCGCAACGCTTGCATTTCAGTAATCGCCACACTCAGTTTTTGATGGTCGTTGCAGTCGTTTTGTCTGTGTGAAGGCAGCACGGATGAGGGGAGGTGGTTCCAGTTGGGGTGGATGAGACGGGTGCGAGCCCTTTCCTGTGACTTTAGTTCAGTATTACTGACAGATCTATGACATCCATGACACGGACAGGGTTTCTAAAAAAACGTACAATGGTTACTTGTGTGGATCCGCGCGCGTCCTGAGGCCCAGCGCCATAACTCGTTGGAGCTTCTGCTTGCGCTCATCAGAAGCGTAGATACGGAGGTAGTCCCTGCAATACCCTTATCCCTTCAATTGCTGCAGAAACCGGATGCAAATAAGGGTGTGGCTGTATCTGTTGGTGTGATTCCGAAGGGCAGTTCAAAGAGCTTTTCGGTGATGCTAAGGGAAGTGTATGCTGACAAGATTGCAGCCTACTCATCAAGTGTAGGCTCTATATCCTATCGGGGAGGTGATTCCCTCAACCACACCATCGCTCATCAGTCTAGTAACACGTCGCAATTGATTCTAGGCATGCATACCGGGCGAACTGCGCTAGTAGCTAACAGGTGCTTCTTGGTACTACCGCCGAGATGTTGATGGGAAAAGGTGTTGGCCGTCTCGTCGTTGCCGGATCATCACCGAGGATTCCATGTTCGTGGTTAGCTGTTATTTGGTCTCTCGATTCATAATCTTGTTCACGTCAATGTCAATACAGTGTATGGTGCCGCTTAGTGCGGATGTAGGCTTGCGATCATTGTTCATATTGTTGCAAGTGCTGATGGTGTCCACGAGGCAGTTTGAAACCAGAACCCGGCATTGCTCCGTTCCGTGACCGTGCAAGTCCGACTAGTATTTGCATCCGATGTTTGTATCAGTTCCGAGGAACGTCAGTTGGTGTAAGCCAAATGACCTTAAGAGAATTGGCTGGGACGCTGTCAGCAACTATCAAGTCGAGCGGGGTAATGACTATAGAGTCTCGGAGGTCCGTGATTTGTGAGCGCTTCATCGTTCTCCTCAATAGTAACTATTAAATAGCCCGAGATGTAGTGTGCGGAGTCCTTGGCATGGTCACTGCATTGACCCTCTTACTTTTGGTGACAAATTGACAATGTTCTCAGGCCACAGTGTAGTAGAGAGCGCTGCAGGGTCTAGTAATCCTAATTCGGTTTATTCCCTACCGCCCGCCTAGCTCAATCGGATAGAGCGTCAGACTCTTACGGCGGATGCTTAGTCGCATCGTGACTGCGATCTGAAGGCTGCGAGTTCGACCCTCGCGGTGGGCTAGTCCTTCGAAATTTTGCGGTTTTTGCATCAATGGCGAGGGCTCCTAAATCGGCTGAGGAATAAACAAGGCGACAAATCCCTTTGACAACATGGTTGGCCCTTGGCGTAATTATTAATATCGAGACCGGAGCGGTTTTATCCCTCTTCAGGTGAGAAACGAAACCTTGTCGATCTTGTCATCCAATAATCGCTCACTAGTGCTCACTAGCGCTCACTTCTTGTCTAAAACAGAACGTCGTTAGAGATATCGTCGAAGGGCAAGGCTATTCTCACGTCTTCCAGTTGATGTGCGTGTTAGTCTCCGTCTTTTTATTCTTTCCTCGACGTATCCAAGGCCAGGAGAGAGAAAAGTCATCGACTGTTCTAGGCCTGACGAGAGTCCAGGCTAGAACTGATGGGCATGCGGTCCGTCACACTGGCATCGAACCTCGGCTCCGACTTGACCACAGGCACCGACGCGCACCATTACCACCTTATGTGTCGCACTCGGTCTCGGTGTCCTCCATGAGGAACCTTGCTCTTCATTGAAGGAACGGCGGTACGTGTCGGGGAAAGAATGCGTAAATTTTGAGGAAAAGAAAGGAGGAAAAGCGCGACGCACGCGCCGCGCAGGGTAGGCAGCCAACGGAGAAAAAGGCGAGCAAGGAGATTCCGCAACATTGTTTTTCAGGCCGACACGATGACTCGGAATCGCTCGCGAAGCAGGTCTCACGTACTTGTCCAGTGTTCAATGATCGAGTCGGAACTTGTGAGCGACACGACCTCTGATGCTGATGCGAAGTGCTTTGTCGGGTTTGCTTCTCCACGCATATATGTATTCGTAGGGGCACCTCGAAGTCTCTCGGCTGCTCGTCTATCACGGCGCAAACGTGAATGCAAGGAAGAAGAACCAGGACGTACATGCATGAAGGGCGTGGGCGAAACACCATAGCAAGTATCGCTGTGAAAAGGTCATCGAGAAAATGCAGATTTACTCCGGGAGTGGTGCAGACCGAACAAGGGTTCGAGAAGATCCCTTTATGGCTCAAATGCGATGTCTGACTGGTGGAGGGTAATATTAGGAGACTCGATTCCCGGAGAAAAAACCGCTGAATGAGTGGGATGTGGTGATAATTATATTGAGTAGAACAAAAGGCGGCCATCCGGTCTGTGTCTGTCCGTCCGTCCTTCGTCAGTAGGACTGCAATTTCACCGCGTGTCATTGGGCAGCAGCAACGCAAGGGTAGGTATGAGTACCGCGGACGGCGCGAAGTGGGGACCTTCGTAATATCCGTACATACTCGGAATACGGCTGATTATCTCCCGTAGTGTATACGCATTCTGCCGAAGAAGTCGTATGCGGACAAATATTCGATATACTGTACATTCAGACGATCGCATTCAGATTAGCCATCGTTTCGGAAAACAACTCGCATAGCGATAGCGAGTCTAGATTGAATGTGGTCTGTGATGGGCACTACACAAACCTTGGAGTCGACATCGTGCATTTGCTCACGTCTGATCAGGAATAATTTATCCGAGATCTCCGAGTCGTCCATATCCAATCTTTCGAGCATTTTTCTCAATTTCTGAATGCTCTGCGGGGTCTGCTTAGTGTTGCGGAAGTTCAGTTCAGAACTTTGGTTCAAACCTGAACCTCCCTGAACTGAACCACCAGTTTGGTTCTATATTGGATGACTTTCCCTGAACTGAACCCGATGTTCGGTTCATGGTTCCCTTATGATGAAGGAAAGGTGAACATGTCCGAACACGTTCGAACGACCCATCACATGTCCTGTTCAAATGCCCGCTCTGTCTTCTGCAGTGGCACCGCACATCTCTCTATGCAGCATGGCACCGAATTAGTCCACTATGCTCAACTCCGGGGCTTCTCCCGTCATTCTTCTACTGACATTGTCCTTCTACATCCACATCCCTGCTCCTGTGCCTGCTGCTCTGCCATGTGTATCTGCATCTGGCACTGTCTGCATCTGCACCCCCTTCCCCGGACCCCCTCCACCGTAGCTTGAATTGCAAGATTGAGTGGGATGCCTTCTCATCGCCACAACCAGCACCACCTCTGCTACAGCCTCCACAGGCTCACCCACGTTTACCAGACTGCATTCGGGCAGCATTCCTGACACAAGTTTTTTCTCGACCTCTGAAGTGGATCCACCACTATTCTAGGGCAACTGCTTGAAGTTGATCGTTGCCGATTCGTCGGACCATCCAACTTAGCAACATGGTGACGGCAGTGGGGATGGCCCGGATGGTCCAAACCATTCAGCACAAGACATGTTCATAAATTGTTGCTCCTTTATTGCATTTTATATGGCTAAGACTCACATATAAAAGGAGCCACAAAAGGCCCACAATTCCAAGTCAGCTCATCATTGCAACATCACCCTGTTCCTATATCCATGACTGATTCCTCTGATTTTGGCTGCGCTGTTCGCTCGGATGGCTCTCTGAAAGATGCCTCTGAGATTTCCTGGCATTATGATGTAGATGATGATTTGCCAATTGCTCCTGTTGGCTCCACATCATCAACACCTATTTTACCTCCGAACATCCATCCTTTCTTCACCAGCCATCCTGCTCCAGCCAAAATGGACGCAGGTTCTCGCCGCTCTGCTCGTACCCTCCGACCTTCAGCACACATTCTTGACCCCAACAACACAATGAATAAACCAGCTCCTTCATCATCCACTTCCTATCCATCATTTCCATCCATTGCCAAGTATAAACAGAAGGCTCCACCATCCCCAGATTCCCCACCATCATGTTGTATTGCCCACAAGGTCAACACCGACTCTAGTGACAAACATGATGGTGATACTAGTCTTGCAGAACTCGAACTCTCTTCTCAACCTTGTGAGAGTTCCGATGCAGAACAGTCAGAACATTGGCCAAACGAATATGAAGTATTGCAGTCCATGGCAGATGCTGACCATTGGGTATGTCATGTGGCACTGTGCAGTGAATATTGTGATTTGCTGACCGATTAACTTCCAGGCTACTCACACAAAAGCATCCAATGTCCCCACCACAGATATCTGAACAATCTTCAAACATGACAAGGAATACAAAAACCCAGATACAGGGAAGATTCAAGACGGGCATTGGTGCAAACTTTGCTTGTAAGTTCTCATGATTTATGCTGCTTGTTGTGTTGTGACTCACTGTGGCGGCCTGGCCCATGACAGAGAAGATATATCTGTTGAGAAGAAGGCGTGCTTCTTAACAGGGAGCACAACGACATTGCAGATGCATATAGCCCGATGTGAGGGTCATCTCAAGGTATATATGGAACGTTGCACTGCTCTGGGGATTTCCACCCACCCACAGGCATTGTCCTGTATCCCACTTGACTCGAGCGGTGATAGGTAAGACTTTCAGGTCTCAATGTGATGCTCAATGCTCAACATCAAGCTCAACATCATACTCGTGTGAGTTGTGTAGGCTTCAGCAAATGAACTTGGATTCCATTGTTTTGCGAATGCCGAAACAGCCACCATTCTGCGTCCCTGGCCTTCTCGATTATATAATCGAACTCATTGTCTGCGAAGATGAAGTAAGTGGGATATTTGTTTGCCTTTCTCCAAGTCTGTTACTCATGGCACATAGGCTCTCCAACTAGTTGAGTGTGGCAGTTTCAGGCGTGTTCTGCTGTACTGCCGGCCAGGTCTACATGAAAAAGATATCCCCAAGCGAGACAAGTTGCGTGAGGATATTATTCGATGTGCTGATGAAGTGAAGCTAATTGTGCGCAAGAAGCTGGAGGTATGTATGCTCTTGTTGCCATTGATGCCGGTACTAAGCTTATACACTTACAGTTGCTGCCAAGCAAGGTATCATTTACCTTCGACATGTGGACTTCGGGCCCTGGCGATCCATATCTATCTGTTACCGCTCACTACATCGACACTCCTGCTGACAAACCTCGAGAGTGGGAACTTAGGGTGGTCCAACTCGCATTCAAACATGTCGAGGGTCGTCATACAGGGAAAAACATAGCAGACATACTGATTGAGGTTGTAGATCATTACGGGTTGCGTGGAAAGGTAAGTCACTTCACAATCATGATGTTCGAAGTTCAAATCCTTCTCATTGTGACCTTAGGTTGGCTGGTTTACATGCGATGGCGCTGCCGTGAATGGTAAGACGATACGTGAGCTGGAGACAATGCTTTCGACCTCCGAAAAAGGATGGAGCGCTATCGAAAATGATATATTGTACGTCGTGTGAATCCACCACTGGCATTGAGCTGATCTAATACTTACACTGGCAGGTGTATGGAACATTCACTCCACATTGCGTGCAAGCATTTTGTGGAGACTGTTGCGCCCGCTTCCCCTTCCACGATCAGAATGAAGATCAAGGCAGCGTTACAAGCTGCCAGTGCAAACGAAGATCTCGATCTCGATGGGCTTGACAATGACCTCGAGCTTGCCGTGCTAGGCCTCGAGAACACAGAAGGATGTGATGATGATACAGATGTCGAGTTCTCACATGGTGATGTTCTCGGAAAGGCTTTAGCTCTGGTGAAGCAGGTAATTACTTCACGAATACCATACTTATGACAAATGCTGATCACTACGCAACACGTTGATGTGCTAAGATTAGGATGTCGCCTCAAGCAAGGATGTTCTTCAAGTCCTCGTGTTCCCAAGTCAACATTCAGCCCCTTGAGCTTCTTCTGTGGGTACGTACGCGATGGGCATCGCTGTACAAGTTCCTTGATAGAATCCTACAGTTACGCAAGGTATGCCATTTTTCTTTCAACAGCTTTTCTGGACTCAGTTTATGCCTATTTATGCAGGGCGTTGATCAGTTCGTGCTCCTGGCGGATGCGAGCGACAAGGTCCCAGATCTGCCAAAGAATCGTTCGTATGCCGATTTCCAGCTCACAAAGAAGGACTGGGATCGCCTTGAAGAAATCCGCAACGTCCTTAGGGTGTGTGGATGGTGAACAATTGGGTTTCTTCTGTAACTGACCTACTGAAATCCAGGAGCCATC